ATTCTGATAAAATTAGGTGCCAAAAACAAAAAAAATATGATCTTTTTTTTGTGCAAAATTACTAAAAACAATAGCATCGCTATGCACTAAACGTATAATACTGCTAAAGCATAAAAATGCTTTTCATTTGCTTCAATCTTTCACAGCACTTGTTTTGTAACTTTAAAAGAAGTTAGTATACCAATAAAACTGATTTAATTTTGTGATGCTTTTTCGCAGGATTTAAAGTAACTGAAATTGGTCATGCAAATTCTGAATGGCATTATGGACAACAGTCACCTGGGATATATACGATTCAGATTAATGCTTCCAGCCTAGCTTGTATAATTTCTGTTGAGGTAGGTCTCTGCAAACCGTATCCAGCATCTTCGGTTTACAATATTCTGTAGCGCTGCCAAGAGTATATTATATAATGACTTTAGATTAGTACATGCCTAATCACATATTAAAAATACATAAACAGCGTAAAACTGTTCAAAAATGATAAATGAACGACTTTAAAAAACTGCTTTACATAGACCTTGTGAAAATAGATTTTGTCTGATACGACTGAAGACAAACCAGTCTAATTAAAAGTGCTTAAATCAGTAGTTTTATGAGTTTATAGATTTATTATTCCTCTATTTGGCTTCTACTAAACATTGTAGCTGAATGCTGTAATAACCTGTTCAAGAAGATTGTTTTGAGCAACTAAACGACCTGAGCTGCTGCGAACAGCGTATTTTTGACTTATAAAAGATTACTGCTTATTGCTGTTTCAGTAACGATTTTGTATCAGTTGAAGAGCTGCTTCTTTAAGCTGTCACTCAGAAGCCACAAATAGTATAATAGAATTACGGTTATAATAAAAATAGACCTAAAATTTTTTTTAAAGCATCAGAAAATTCTGTATTATCAAAAAAACAATTGATTTTGTGAACACTTAGCAAGTTTTTCTTTTCTGTATAAATAGGCATTAAATTCGTAGAACACATCAACATGCTTCGACCTACGTTTCTGAAATTACACTAATCAAAAACCTAGAGCAACCATAAACCAGGTGCTAAACTTCAGAAGAACAATTAACAGTAAAAAGCATACAGCTTTTTCCTGTGTAAAAATTTAGTCAA